CATATCAAAGGGACCATCGCCATTCAAACATCTGATGGGCCCCTCAACTCAGGTGGGATCACCATCCTCACATCATCATTAGAATATGACACTCATTCAAACTAAAACAAATATATATCATTTTTATCATTATAATAATCTAATTATATAACTATAATCTAAAATCGATTTTTAAACATTAAAATGCATACTTGTGTGCCAGCCTTCTGATCGATTAGCACCCTAATTTTTTCTAAATCATCAGGTAGCTCCTGATGATTTTTTTCTATTAGTAGACCACCTATTCAAGAAAAAAAATTATTATACACTGTATAAAATGATTAATATATGAAATCAGTTTTATAATTACCTCAATAGTAGTGGAAATACGAATGGGTTCTTGACAACGGGACATAAAAAGGGTAATCGATACCATGCCTAAGACTGCAGCAGCAAGAGACATCCGCCGATAGCATTTTTCCTGTAGTCAGTGGCTCGACACATCTCCCTGTATAGGAAAGTCAAAACTGCCGAGCCCCAACTGAGTGATCCAACCATATGAAAGTCGCCAAGATGTCGCAACCATATACAATGAACTTGGTTGTGCGATTTATCTGGCATCAGCAACCCTCCTATCAGCTGCAGTATGCATGCCCGTGCATACATTTTAACTTCATCATTAGAGGCGTCCTCGCTCAACTCCCGAAAATTGGCATATAACCAATTTAACGGTATCCGACCACCGTTAAAACTTTCCGAGACACGTCCTAGATACTCCGGCACAAAGCAGTCCATGAACCATGCGCCATCCCCAATATCACATCTCCATCCACCGGAAGCCTCAGGTGCATAGAAACATCCTCAAGTGTAATCGTGCACTCTCCGCACGGAAGATGGAATGTGTGGGTCTCCGACCTCCACCGCTCCACTAAGGCATCAATAAGGTCTGGTTCTATCATACAGTGACCCTCATATCTACCTATGTGACCGAATCCAACTTCTACTAAATACGACAAGACATGGCTAGGTATCACTAATTTAAGGTTCCTAATAAAATGATCTAATACATGGTCCCTCTTCTAAAATTAAATAATTACAAAATTTAATTTTTAAACTAATAATCATACATTAAATAAATAAATAAATTATTACTAATAATTTAAATTAAATAAACTAAGTCCTCTAGGAGTCAAGTGCATCCTATTATTTAGGAAAAAATTTAAAATTTAATACAATATGTTAAAGAAAAATAAAAAAAAATAAAATTTTTTGCACCTCTATTATCTTTAAAAAAATAAAATTAAAATTTTAGACCCTATTTATAAATTTTTGAATCTGTCACTGTTCTATCGTTTTACATCTCATAGTCATTGGTTAAATTTGAAGTACGTGCTGTATATATTAACAGTATGGATAATTTTAAATGTGACATATTAAAAATTAGATATAATCATTTAAATTTATGAATATTATTATTTTTACACGTCATAGGATTTATATTAACATGCTTAAAATTTAATCAACGTTATTAGACATCAAATCTAATTTAACAATGAAGGTAAAAGATGTGCACTAATAAAAGGAACCGATGCAATAGTGATAATTGAACGATTTAATTTTAAAATGACTCGACAATATTGATAGCTTGTTTTATATGCTGGAGAAGTGCAGAAGCTTCTGAATTACAAACGCCACTAGACTCGTGAAAATATGACGACTTCCACTGCCGATGAGTCGGTCCTTATCACACCGAAGCAAAGCGCTAAACAGGTCCAATCTTGTAAATTCAACAAAAAACATGGGCTATTAAGAGACTCGAATTGTTTTCCTTAAATTCTCCTTTGAAACCATTTATTTAAACATCAACAAATAGAGAAAAAAACTTTCCTAGTTATGATCACTTTCCCCATATAATACAACAACATATCCCTTCAAATTCCCACAACTTTTCAACCAATCAAAATTCCTTAAGTTTCAGATCATATTTTCTCGCTCAAATTCTACATAACCCAGATTTTTCTTTTCGATTCTCTTGAGTTTTGGTGTTCGAAAACGCCGGTCAATTGCCACTGTGTGTTTTTTGTTTTTCGAGGTTATTTTTTTAATAATTTTTTTGGTATTCTTAGCTTTTTCCCTGGGAGATTCTGGTTGTGATTATGAATAATAACCGGAGAAGACAAAAAGGTGAAATCCATCATCAAGGAATGCAGGGGACAAGATCATACAGCCGAAAGCCATCCCCTGGTATTCTTTTCTTTAAGCTTGTAATCTTTTTAAGTCTTTAATTGTTATTTCTTTTAAAAGAATACCGTATGTCTTCTTTTTGCCTCCTCTTTAGTTTTATATTCTGGAATTTGTATTTCATGGGCTTTTAAATCGGTGAAAAGTTTAAAAAAAGCTTTGATCCTGAAGCCTTCCTGCAAATTAATTATGTTCTGTTGTTTCAAGTTAAGAGCTGAGCTGTTAAAGCTATTAAGATATTTCTGTATGTTTTTTCACGCGTTATAATGGTTTGTCTCTTAAAATAGTAATATTGTCTCTGGGTTTTTTGTATTTTTTTTTGGTTTCTTTTTATGTTCTCTTAAGATAGGGGTGTTGTGGTTTTGTAATTTAATCAAATTCAAATGGCACTGTTGTGTAATTTGCTGCATTTTTATACTCTATTTATTTAACAAAGTATTTGTTCTGAAGGAATGTTTATGGAGACCTGGGGTGCGAGGGTAAAAATGAAGCACAATTAAAGGAATAGTTTATTGTATATATATATATATTTGTATGTATGCATTTAACCTATTGCTCTGGTCTTAGATATCAGTGAATCTCTGATTAAATTGGGGTAACGTTCCTTTTGCTCGAGGATTTAGGAACTTGCATATGTTCTAACCTCTTTTTGCACTTGGAAACTGTTGAGTGACAGATGCATGAATTCATATGGAAACCCACTCTGGCATTGGTTTTGTTATTTTGAGATCAGGACATCAGAATTTTTCGATTTGAGCAATAAATTTCCTGAAAGAGTATGTGGAATTATTCCACCAGCAGCACCCAATATGTTTGGATCTGTCTTCTGACCAATGAACACATGGCATTGAGACCAAATTTGCGCAGCTTTTGCTTGTTTCTTCGGTTCCGGTTGTCGTTTTCTAGTTCTTTCCATAAATAGCTTACCGATTTTCAAGATCATTTTTGATGTTTCTTGGATTTGTCTCCTTTCTGGAAATTATTGCATTTTGTTTGTGTTTTGTTACTTTGATGGTGGTTGATTAAACCTGACATTCCTTAATCATGTATCCCAGCTACGTGGCAGCCTGCTGTTCCTACATGGGAGAAGAAGTTTTGCACCCTGGTAGGCTCTGTTCCGTGGTGGAAGCTTCTCGAAACCAAGAGATTTATGTACCTTTATGACAACGTAGTCCAGTGGAATGACTCGGCAGGTGAGGAGGCATTCCATAATGCTAAGAACCGATTTTGGGCTGAGATTAATGGCCTTCCTTGTGACATAAGACTCCCCGATCCAGATAGTTACATTGATAAAATCGATTGGGACTCGGAAATTGATCCCGAGCTGCTTCTGGACTTGGAGAGAGAGCCCAAGGTCCCTGATGAGAAGGATAAAAGTGAGCATGTTGTGATTCTTGGTAATTTTCTTCTTTTGAATCAACCATTTGTCTGTGGTGGTGGTTGGGGGGATGCTGAAGAGGGTGCAGTGAAGGAGAATAACATGTCTTCTTCGAATTGGAAAAACAAAGACTATGAAAATTCTTGGGAGCCCAATAATGGCAACATGAAAGATACTGGATATGGGAATTGTTGGAATAACTCCTGGGAATGGAACCAAAGGGGGAACAACTGTAATGATTGGGACAATAATGACTCCAGCTATGTGGATTATAATAGAACTGGAGATTGGGGAACATGGGATGTTACTGGAAGAAAGCGAGAAGATGCTGATCAGTACATGTCCAGGTATAAAACCACAAGATTTCATGATAACTCGCAGAATAATCGGAGATGGAGGAATCCAAGGGGGAGGCAGAGGACAAATTTTGCGTATGAACGACCGTCAATCAGACACAGTGGAACTCGGTGAGTTATTGTGGTTGGGCCAATTAAACCATGATGAATTTTGCAGTGCAGTAGAGACTATGGAAAATAGGAAGAGGCAAGTTTTGTAAGTATAAAGGTATAAGCATATATATATATATATATATAATGCCGTAGATGTAGGTATCGATATTATTTGATTTGTTATGTTTGGGAATGGATGGTACAAAAATAGGACCACAACAGCTTGGCAGAGCCCCTATTATGTTCGGTACGTCACAGTTTTGTAGTTTGTTTCTTTAGGTCTGTGTGAGGTTTTGAGTTATAGTCTTTTGGGAGTGATTGTTGCCTGATATGCTTGTTAATGCAAACGTATTAAAAAATGGCTGTCCCTTGTTCCCATATGTAATGGGGTAAAGGGGAGGTAAGATAGTAGGCTGTTCCTAACACCAGGTTGAGAGCAGTTTCCGTAGAAGACCTCCGAATTATGAAATGCCCTCTGTGAGACTCGATCTCACGACCTCAAAGTTAAGAATCTTGTGCTCTACCAACTGAGCTGGATAATCATCTCTTAATGCAACGTATTGATGTATATATATCATTGGCATTCTATAACTTCTGTTTTTGTAACTGTTAATCTAGTAAACTGTGGGTTCGAAAGGGCTTTAAAAGTATTCAAAACCGAAAGAGCTTTCTTAGCTGTGTGCTGTGTATGATGAAAAAAAGGTGGTTTCTTCCACCTGGATCTTGGTTTAGACATTACATTAATGTTTTCCTTGTCAATGCTGTGCTTTATCCTCATTTTTAGGACACTTTTTTTCATCTTTTATGCTTTTCCAGTCTGCATCTTCTGAAAAGTACAATGCAGGAAGATGCTAATTTATAGACAGTGATTATTTTAGAATTCTAACTATACCCAACAAACAAGGGAAGGATTTCTCTCCGGGAAGCTCTTGAGCTCTTGAGTGAAACTAATATTGAGAAAGTTGGTCTATATTGGCAAAAGGACATTATATTTAACAGAAATGACAGCTATGCCATCCGCCATCAACCTGATGGTCATTTGTGTTCATAAACAGAAAGGTGGGAAGTGTAGCTCGGGTTTATATTTTCAGAAAATTATGTTTTGATTGTAGGGAGTACAAGCAAGCAATGCGAGTTTAGACAGTAAATGTAACATCTGAACCCGGTGTAGATGTTACACAATTGTAACAAATCAGGTTTAGACGTTACATAATTGCAATTCAGGCCTGTTTTTACATCTCGTGCTAACTTGCCGGGTGAAACATGTACCTTTGAGTCTCCTGCCAGACTTCCATGCTGGTGTTTGCTTTGATTCTACCGACGCCTGGAACTCCTTGCTAGTTTGGTACGACTATAAAGTTTGGCCTTCAACCTATTGATGGCTTTGATTTGATTAGCAAAGTAGCTCCTCTCACCTGGACACGAAATATGGATAATGATTCATGAATTCTCAGAGGAAATTAAGCACCTGAAGATTGAAAAGTTAAAGCAGTAGGGATATGTTATGTTGAACACAGATTGTTTATCCAATTCAGTTTTGTTTATCTCCAAATGATAAACTGATGAAGAATCAAATCGTCATCACTGAATTGAGGGCCAGGAGTTGTTCGTGGAGCAAACTGACAATCTGAAAGAAAACCATAAGCATACTTGAATTCAAATTCGATAGTTGCTGACTTGATACCACCGTTAATGGAAAACCTTTCCAACTCCCTTGCTTTTTCGCTCACTTGATCTACAAGCGCCCACACCTGAACATGAATATCGTCAACAAACAAGTGTATTTATATGCTAGAATTGTCATGTATCTATCCAATTTGTCCATCAAAGGAATTCACACATAACCTGAAGCAAAATCTCGAAGCCATTGATTCTTCCATTGAAAAGGGTGAAGCATTCATAGTTAAATTCAAGAGAGAAAAAAAGGAAGTGTGGGGGTCGAATGTCGGATTCTTTGCCTTCGGGACCAGCTGTAATAAAGATAGCTCATATTTGTTCCAGCAAATCATTTGTAACCAAAGATGGATCATAGGCTGTAATTGACGGCCTCTATCTCGATTAATTGTGCAATCAGCTTTGCTTCTTCAGCGTGCAGAAATAAGTGAGGCCTGCTCTATAACTTTCTGAAAGCCTTCAGTTCATTAGAAGATATAAAATCAGATGAAGCCTTTCTCTGGTGTACACCACCTTGTATTTAAGATCACCAACCACTTCGACAATAACGGCCAATTTGACAAGAATTTCATTGGATCTAGCCAGGTCGTTCATAGATTGTAATCGTTCACCATCTCTTCTTGCTGCATCCTCCTTGCTTCTTCACATTCCAGGGCAGTTGGTGCAACATCTCGGCTCGGAGAATGACATCTTCAACCTTCTTTTTCAAATAGACCTAATGTAAGTAGTGATAAAAAGATGTTAACTCAGAAGAACATGGAAAACAAAGATTGCAAAAAATTTACCAAAAGTCAAAACCACAAACTCTTCTGATGTCTAGCAATTTCATTTTAATTGAAATAGGACATAAATGATCAGATTTAAAATAAGAAAACAATTAAACCTGAGACCCACTAAAAGCAGTCCCGATATTAGATACTTTAAAATCAGAGACAGCAACATGCAATCAGTCTGGTAATGTGGATAATACAGACAGGCATCGATTTGAAAAATCGATTGTACAGTGCATAATACTACTCGAGAAAACATCGAAGAGTTACAAATTAAACAATTCAATGTTGAAGCTACATAAGCATCATGGGGGCATTTTATTCTTGTAATCAATGGAATGAAAAGCACGAATCGGTCAAGTGTAAAAACTGAATAGTTTTCGACCTTTTATTTGAAAAGGAGATTTCCATGGAGTTGATGCGCAGCTTCTGCCGCCATTTTGATAAGAAGACGAAGATTCAGCAAGTAAAGAAGAGATGCGGTGATAAGCGTAGATTAGGCTAAAGAGATACTGTATTTGTATTTGTTGGTTGGAAGGCCAAGACAGCGCGTCGCCTTGTCATTTTTTAGTTGCATAACATGCCACGCCAGCCCCGTTCTTTTGTTAGCACCAAACCTCATGCAGAAGACAGCTAGATAATTGAATTTGATTTTAAAAACACATTAACGGACAAGGCAAAGCCATGACTTTACTGTTTGTAAAGTAACGACGACAAGCAACAACAACAACAACAAAACCCAATTCCCATATGTATGGGGTAAGGGGGAGGTAGGGTAGTAGGCTACCCCCAACGCCAGGTTGAGAGTAGCTTCCGTGGAAGACCTCCGGCAGTCAGAAAATTAAAAATTTAGATAAAATGCAATGCATGTATAAATAAATACATAAATACATAGCTAAACAGTATTTATATGCAGTCATTAAAATCATATGTGCGTCTGTAACGGGAATTAATTTCTGTATAATAATCCCTGCGAAAGAATCTCTGCATATAGACAGAAACATAAGATCCCTGCATCTGTAACATAAAGTAACGACGACAAGGCTATTGGTAAATAAAAACAGTGGTTTTTATTGATAAAATTTTCATTAATCTTAAACATTTATTTTTAAGTAATTTGATTAAGGTTGAAATTAAGTTTAAATTTGTTATAAAATATGTAAAAAGACATGAGTTGTCACCGGGAAACGAATTTAATTTTAAAATCGAAAACCTTTGCACAGAAGTCGGATTTCAATTCGATCCGGATCGGTTTTTATCCGATCCGGTTTTTAAAAACCGGTTTATAAAATAACCGGTTCGGTTTCTAACCGGTTTGAAGGGTCGGATATCCTAACCGGTGTAACCGGTTTCGGTTTTAAAAAAACCGGTTATAAAAAAACCGATTTTAATATTATTAAAATTACATCGTCATCAATTGCAACAAAGTTTACGATAATTTGTTGAAAACATTTTGATATTTCGATATAACAAATTAAGTTAAATGAATTTTAAGATTTTCCAAATGATTTTCTAAGTATATTCGATATAATTATTCGAATATCAAAACATTACTCCAAATATTTCAAAAATCATTTTTAATCCTTACTTAAGTGTAAAATTAAGTTTTAATCTTAAAACAATTTCAAAATAATCTTTCAAAGTATTTTGAACCATTTCAAAGCCAAAAATTCCAGATTGCTCATAGGGAACCGATTCCCCCCAAGGGGGTATCGATTCCCCCCTGAATGGTTTGGCTCCGAGATTTCCAGAATGCTCGGAGGGAACCGATTCCCCCATAGGGGGTACCGATTCCCCCTATTCAACGGTCGAAATATTTGAATTTTACACTTAGGGAACCGATTCCCCCCACGCTCCAAGCATTTTTATTAAATGTTTTCACACTTAAACGGCTATATTATCTTCATTAATTATCCCTAACGTTCAGAAGTGATTCAAGGTGTATTTAAGCAAGCTTAGAAGCCATTGATCAAAGACAAGAAACATCAAGCAACTAAAATCAAGAGAGAATCAAAGAGAAAGCATCAAACCTCAAGTTTGAGCATTTTGTAGATGCTTAATTTGTCTGGGGCCTTTACCATTTTCAAATGAAAGCTGTTCGGGGGAGTTAAGAAACCAAAAATAAACGTGAGAAAGCAGTTAACAAAAAGAGGAGCCATTATCGGTAGTGGAGGAGAACGCTACTTGAACAACTAAGAAACTGTAAGGAGTCAGTTTTTTTTGGAGGCATTAACCATCAGAAATCAGACAGAGAAGGGGGAATTTAACTACGGAAAAAGGGAGACAGAACAAAAGAAAAAAGAACAGAAAGAGAGGAAAAAAAAATTAACCAAGGGGGAGGTGAGCAGAGGATCATCAGCAGTAACCAGAGAGCAATTCCAACAGAGGATTCAAGCAACAATAAAAAACAAAAAGCGTTCATCAACCACAGTGGACATAACTCTTCGAAAAAAATATCCATTGCAATTAGAGTTTCACTCACCATTGTATTGAAATCCAAGAAGCAATTGAAAGCAAGGAGCAGTTTTTTTTTGGTATTTTCCATCCTTATTTCGATTTCCAGTTTAATATATGTATGTCTTTATTTTGAAAGCAGTTAGAAATTTCAGCAACATACATTAATAAAATAAAATTACAAGAGAACAAAGTAGAAGAGAGGAAGAGGGTCGTTTTACCTTAGGCGTTTGGTGTATTGTTCTGTCTTTAGTCTCCGGGGTCGAGCGAGGGAGCAGTGAGTTTACCATTTGTCTGTGGCTTCACCGTTGGAGTCTCTTGAAGGTGTCGTTTGAAGAGAGAGTGGGAAGGAGGAACGTTTGGGTGCGTTGGTGGTTCAAGGAGATGAGTGGTCGAGAGATGGCTGTGTGAGTTTGTGAGTTAGAAGAGAGGAGCAGACGAGAGGGAGAGTGGTTAAGGGGTGAGAACTGTGCAGGGAGAGGGAGAAGAAGGGAGCATTGCAGCGCTGAGGGTTACAAATGAAGCTAGGGTTAAGTTTTTAGACCTAAATGTTATATATATTAGATTACTAAAACGGTGTCGTATGGATGTTTAGGGATCCTGTTTTGCACGTGGTTATGTACCGCTTGAGCCATTTAACTTTTCAGTTTCATGCATTTTGGTCCATAAATCATGTTTTCCTGTTTCCAATTTTGCATCTTTATTTTATGCGTTTTAATTTTCAGTCCCAAATGTTATGTTATTTAGTTTTTGTCATTTAGACATTAGGGCTTCAAGTTTCTACATGTTACGTTTTAGTCCATGTTTAAGTTTCTTATGTGTATGCATGTATGGTTTGTTAATGTTCGTTTCGGGTGTATACTTATCCTAGGTTTGAACGATGATGATATGTGTGCATGTGCTATTACGTGGTTCATAAGCATTGATTTAGATGTAACATATATTTTTATTTAATTAATCTTTGCATGACATCATTTTTGCATAATTTACATGATAGCCTCACGTGCATAACTTGACTCTTATTACATAATTTAACTAAGGGTAATATCCTTTTAATTTAAAATTGTTGAAGTGGGCAGTCATAACTGATTTGAGGTCTGCTTTTAATGATTTTAAAATAAAAGTGTATCCCGAAAGTGAAACAAAAAATTGATTCGTCACCTAAAATTTGGGAACGAGAGAAAAAGAAATGTTCGTTTATTTAAATATATCGAGAAAAGGTTGTTATATCTTTAAGATCTGGTCTCGATATTTGTAAATAATTGAACATTCTTTATCTTTCTAAAACGACTTGGTAATTTTAATTTAATTTGTTTGAGTGCTTTGGAATGTTTTTAAATTTACGTCATTGTTTTATGGGATCAAAAATCAAAATAAATTCGAATTTGTAAAGTTCATTGCGAAGACGTTAATTAATCGACTAGGTACCGATTTAGGGCGTTGTGGGGGTGCTAATCCTTCCCCACACGTAACTGACTCCCGAACTCGGATTTTGGTAACGCAGACCTCAATTTGTGATTTTAATTAAAATTAATTTTTGTTTAAAATGACAAAGCATTTTTTGGGTGCCCAATCACACCCTAATCAAAGATTGGTGGCGACTCTTCAAACCGTATTTTTCGATCGTAAAGGAAATTCAAAATTTTTCGGAACGAGGGATCTTTTAAATCGCATTTGTTTTTAAATTAAAAATAAATTAATAATTAATGTGGTTTTCAAAATCTCACCTTTTAAGAAAAAAAATCGTTTCGACAGCTTGGCGACTCTGTTGGGGACGTAATTTTTTTTAGAGAGTCAGGTCGATAGTCGATTAATTAATTGTCTTTGCAATTGAAAATTA